TGAAGATAAAAAGGTTTGCGCTTCGTAGGCAAGGTACATTTGGTGCTCGTGATTGATGAATGATATATTTTTAATACTGTACTGATCATGATGTTGACTTTGTTATACCTTATATGTTTGTCTTTTAGTTTTATTTGATGAAGGTTGATTGTGCTGATTTCTCAAGGTTTGTTAATGTGTATCAAAGTTCCTTGAAATGAAAATATTCCTTCAAACAAAGGGCGTATAAAAAGCCCCAAAATATTCATGTTTATAATTATCAACTAGAACGAAATATTTCCATAACATATTTATTCATTTTGTATGTCATGGTGACATTATCTAATGCATTGGAGATCAGAAATAGTAGTAGCTATAGTGAACATATTGTAAATTTTGTATATATATGAAAGTCTGGTTTAATCTCATAGAACTATGTCTTTATAGATATAATTACTGGAAGAAAAGTCTAACCATCATACTTCAAGGAAGATAGGCATGTAAATACATTTAATGTAATTACTTACACTTTTATCTATCTGAAATGCTGTGTACACCTTATCTACTTTCCTCAACTACAAATATGATTATAATAAGTAAGGACTATTACTTTGCAATACATTTAAAATAAAGAATTAGGTATCAAGTGCTTTCGACTTGTCTGAATCCTCATATTGATAGGATAGTAATTGCAACATCTTGGGTATTTTAAAGGTTTTATTTAGTCAACTTCATCATAGAGCTATTTATCATTTGACTTGTTGGCGATAAATATATGGTTGTGTGTATTTTGTTATTATTATTTTTTTTTTACCTATTTTGATTTGTTCACATTATTGTCGTCAAATTTGAAATAAGAATTAATGTAGATATAAAATCGTTTAAAATTAAGAAACATAGCCTCTGATTCTTTTATTTTAGTAAATTTTGCATGCAAAGTGTATGGGTATGGGGGAAATAATATAGCTTAGCGGTTATTTGTCATTTTTCAATACGTTTCGCAACTCAATACTTTCAGTACTTTGATTTTTTTCTGTTTCGCTGACATAACTTCAGTTCTGTATTTTGAAGCTGTACTTTATATTTGTCAAAATATATCGATCATGTCTTTGATAATTTTAGTATTTCACTTATGTCATTGAACTTTTTATTTGTCTTAAACTGAAGAAGCATTCGGACATGATTGAATTACAATACACCACCCGAAACAGCTGCTGCTAAAAACATAAAATGCCAAAAAAATCATTGGAATCCACGTTCCTCAGTTATCTCCCATTTCTTGTGCTTCACAGTACCACACTGACAGTCCCCAGCGTGTAGGTCTTAAGTTATATTTAAGTTATTATCCACACCTACACGATCTCATTGTGAAATATGGGAAGTAAACAGAAAATAGACAGTATGATTTATTTTCTTGTATTGTCTTTCTGTTTCTCTTTTTTGTTTTGTTTGTTTGTTTTTGTTTTTTATTTTCTTGTTTTTTTTTTTTATTTTTGCTTAATTTACTGCGATATTGTTAAATTTTGTTCAATACCAATCAGTCTATAAGACTGTCTAGTACTGATACACTACAACAATAAATGTTACGGTATTCAAACAATGCAATACAGCAAATGATACCAACTTTCCATTTGAGTAAGAGTCGTAACGCATTGGTGCAGGGGGGATAACTCTTATCTAAAAACAAATATCCAAATAATATATTACAGCTGTAGGAAGTTTTTGTAGTAAAAAAGTCAAGTTCAGTTTCCTTGTATCAGTTTGATTTAATAAGTGTATACATTCAGGGGTATGTATGAGGAGTGACAATGATACCCATGGTAGAACTTTATATATAGACCATGTTTAGCTAGATATTAGATCTGATGGTACAAACAAGTGTCACATAAGTTACACACACCAACCACACACAATTCTATGCTGACCTGTGCACTGGTATTTAGATAATTAACTACATGGAGCACTAGCAGTAGATCAACAAAAACTACTGACATTGAGTAAACCAACATCTGATCGCCTAAAATAACTTAAATTGGTTCATTTATTCAATGTCCACATAAAAAATGGACCCAGTGAAATTTGCAAAACTGTTTTACCTAAAGAATCAAGTAGATGTATGATATATAAAAAATATATTCCTGACAGACTGCCAAGTACAACATTTGAGAGACTATAGGTTTGAAACATTTGCATTTGTTTTTCATCATTTTTCAATCATCTGACCACAGCCTGTCGAAGAGAATTAAAAGTAGAAGCTATTGGATTTGTCTTAGGATGTCCGTCAATACAGCATTATGCAACACATACAAACCAAGTTAATTCAGCTATCTAATCCTTCATCAATATACGCTATACAAAGATATAGGAATCATTTATCAAATTAACGATACACGCTATAAAGACAAAAGGTTACAGAAATCGTTTATCAGATACGCTGTATGAAGAAACAAGATTACATTATTTATAATATAAACACTAAATAAAACCAAAATATTGCAGGGATTATTTGTAAGGCTAACAATACACGTTATATGAAGACCTAAGAGTGTACTAGTTATTTATCAGACAAACAATTCACGCTATATGAAGACAAAAGATTAGAAGAATTATTTATCAGATAAACAATTCACGTTTTATAAAGACAAAAAGCAATTGTTTTTCAGATGAATAACTATCGTGTTATCATTATAGGGTGGTCGGGTGGCGCAGTGGTTACGCACTCGCATTTCACCTAGCCGTCCGGGGTTCAATTTCCGAAATGGACGTGAAAAGGTAGGAGGTCACTTCTCCGACCACGTGGGTTTTCCACGGGTACTCCGGTTTCCTCCCACAAAAAGACCCGTCGCGCGATTACATCCAACAAGAGTGATAAGTATAGGTTGAAATAACTTGTTTCGCAATTGTTGTAAAACAAATAAAGTTTATATTAAAAGATTACAGTAATTATTGATCAGATAAATCATACACGCTATATGAAGACAAAAAATTACAGTAATTATTTTTCAGACATTTCCGGATATCGATATCTTTAAAAGAGGCATGAATACGTCCAATAGACTTTGAGCCCACGTCTCTACAAATAATATTATATTTCATTGAATCAGTATTTACGGCAGCAGTCAATAGTAACATGCTACAGTGATATTGAAAATAGCCGTAACAAGCTGAAGCTTGTCAGCAGAGTGCTAAACAGACACTTATATATACAGATATGTTTAAATGTCTCACCCGTTTATTGATTACTTTGAACACCGTCTGATATACACCTGATCGGAGTGCTCGCGTTGGTAGACGACCACTTTTGGGCACTTCTGAAGAACTGTACATGTACTTTGTATAATATCACAGATAAACAAAGGAATACTTCGAAGTTTTCCATTGTTGAAGGGAATACCCAGGAGTAACCGGCAAATCTGCAGTACAGTTCTCCACCTAGTAGAATTCAGAAACTGTGACACATGACAATATGATACTGGACACTATTTACAACAAATCTATCAGTGAGGGTATTCAACGTAAACGGTAACAACACCGAACAGATTACAGGACGAAGTTGTGGAAACTCCGCGGTTTCACAGGGAGCAACTTGGATCTTGTACGTATAACACGTCGTTTCTGAAGTCCAGCGTATCTACGACTTTGTGACGGTAAGATATGCGTTATTAAGTCATTGTTGGTGTTAATAATACAGTTCGTATCAATATAACAACACAAACAGGAAGTTAAATACTGCTAGTGATCAGACAGCGCTAGAGCCGTACGTCACGGGTAAGGTCGTGTCAGTTCATTAGATCAGGTAGACATTCGCATGTTTCTATAATTATATGCGAAATTCGCTTGCTTCTTTCTGTAATTTATATAAGAAATTCATAAGCACTGTAGTTTCTTTCAGAAATTCACATTCTCTTTATCTTATATTAGAAAAGCACATGTTTTTGTAGTTTATATTAGAATTTCACATTTATCTGAAGTTTACATTCACATGTTTCTGTAATCTACTGAAAATCAATACCTTCTATAGTTATATTAGAAATTCACGAACTTCCATAGTTTATTACAGAAATTCAATATTGCTTTTCTATACTTTATATATGTAAATAAAACGTGTTCCTAAAGGGTAGTTGTATATAAGAATAATATTTAAGAAAAAAAACAAAAACCCTTGAGTTTGTACATGTATTAGAACTGTATCTGTAGGATTATGAACGTTTCTGTTCTTGTCTACTCGTACTGACGTCCTCTCTCCTTTATAACGCCAATGCTTTCTTAATGCATTGTACTGACTTTTCCCGGATCAGTCGACATTACACATTCTTGTTTAGTTTTTTCTGATTTTGTTGTTGTTTTGTTTATTTTTTTTTTCACTTAAAAATGTTTTGTTTATGTTCAAACAGTAACAGACTACGAATCCCTCGTCCCCAACCCCATAGCCTCAACCAAATTCCTACCAAACAAATATACAATGCTGTCTCCTCAAATACGCCCACCATTCTCGACTTCCTCACAGTACAGCATAAGTCGGGAAAATGGTAAATAAGGACATGAGAAAGTCCATACCCATGATAGTATTATCCTGGTGAAGTTGTTTGTTTTGTATGTCATCGGTAGCAGCCGGTCTATTACAGTGTTAAAATATCACTAACAGAAATAAAGTAAGGAGACGGATTAATATAAGTACTTTGTACTTGTTTTCGAATCCTTATGTATACTGTTTGTATTGCTGAAATGTTATACAGTTTAAAATAAAATAAAGTTTAAACTAAAAAAACTAAATAAAGTAACTTCTAACCAGAAACAACAATTTACTTTAATATCGGAAGGCTATCATATGCTTTCAAATGGATATCAATAGATGAGAATACACCTACCACACAGACACACATCAGAGAGATGTCAATCAAAGCATTGTATTGGGGAGGGAGGTTTCAAGTTTCGAAATCTGTGACAAATAGCGAGATTTACTAATGACAACATGAAATAACTATTGATGAGGAATTGATATAATTTCAGACAAACATGAGATGGGTGCAATATGTAGCACCAAAAGCAGCACAGTCATAAATGCACACCGTAGCAGTTCAGATCAAAGCGACAGTGCTGTTCAAAGATACGTTACCCTTGACAGTTCAGCACGAGAAGTAAAACCCTCCAGCGCAGGAACACGTGTGGAGTATATTAGCAATAGCGAAACGTCACTTCAAAAAGACAATAGCAAATCACGTGATATACCCGATCACACCATGCCGGGCAGATTACAGCAAGGTGATGTCACTGGACACACCGATTCCAGCCCCGCAAAAATGAAGCAATCTGATTCTGACTTGGAACCAACCTTTACAAAATTGAAACAAGCGAAGAAGTTGTTCGAAGACGAAATGAAGAACGAAAACCGAGAGACTGAATTGGAGCCCGTTATGATAGCCCTTAGGAGAGATGTTTCCGATATCTTCGAGAAATATGATAGTCCTTCTGATAGAGAAAAGATTGGAAATTTTATGGCCAGGAATGGGTAAGATATCATATATCTGAGTCACATCGTCCATTCCTGATTTTAATGATGAAAAATGAGTAGTTAATCAACATTGATATGTAAAGGAGTAAATAATTTTATTGTATCAGTTCAGGTGCCTAAATTCTTCTGGTAATATTGTGCTCCTCCAGGTATTTAAACTTCAACTAATCATACTACAAAATCGTCACAAAATAAAGTTCATAATAAATAAAGTGGTAGAAAACAGATTAAAACTGAAAAATATCTATTGATATATCAATACCATCATGTTGGGAATGCCCAGGAGATAATACTAGAGTCAACCATTGCAGTACTATGCGAATATGAACATTTAATTTGATATCATGTTTCAGTTTGGTGGACACTCTAGTGGATCTTTATGGGTTCGTCATCAAGGATTATTTTGAACAATTTTCCTTGCGAACAGTTGCAATTAAAGCTGACTATAAGATTGAAATTGGCGTGCTTGAAGAAATTCGAAAAATTGCATGGAATTTTTCCGATAGAAGCTCGGAATTTCAAGACGCAACAGCCAAAACTCACATGTTTGGATTTCTGGCAAAAGACTTATTGGCAATGGGCAAACACGAGCTTTGCGATGTCAAAGTTTGTATTTGTTTTTAAATATTGTTCTTCGCTCTGTATCTGTAACTTATCCAATGATAATGAACACTGCACGAGGAAATAATATTGACAATTTCTGAATGAAATGTAATTATAGAATGTAACAGTAACGGCAAAAAACATGCTAGGTTTATAAGTATATAAATGTATGCAAACCATGGTCGTTGAATCATGCCTTTATGTATTTTTGTTTCGTTTTGTCAAGGAACACTCGTTTCCATTCACATCGGCCGTGAACATTATTCACAACTGCTCTAGAAGTGGAACGATCACGAAAGCTATGTACACTGTAACACTTCAGCCTGGAGACGGAGACATGGTATCGCTTCAGACATGTCTCACCCCGTTCCTAGGCTCAACAGATACGTGTGGGTATATACAATATCTAATCAAAGACTTTTTCCCGTTATTGACTTTTGTGTATTAGGTGTCTTAAGGTATTCGTTGAGCTGACGTGCAGACATATTTTTTTATGGTATTCAATTATAAAATATATACAATGGTATCGTAAGAATATTTGACCAAACGTTATAAATAATACATTTTTTTCAAAATGTTCTGTACCTTTATCGAAGTACGTGTATTTACTACCACGTGATGGTATTCTGTTTTCCATCGCTGTCTTTTCCTCTAATATCATTACAGTTTTTATATAACTTCAAACACGTCATACCATTGAAAACAATAACTGTGATGATTATTTTCAAGGCGATAATTGGCACATCATAATTATGTATACATACACCACAGTCACACAATTCAGTGTGTTGGTAAGTCCTCTCAGTTGTTTAGATTGTTTTCACAATCTTATAATTAAAAAAAAAAAAAAGAAAGAAAAAAAGTTAGAAAAATCATAGTTATGAACTTTCAAAAGAAAGTTAAGGAGAAACATTGCTCATGAGAGAATCGAAATTTTTATTTTTTTTAATTATTATTTTTATTTATTTATTTTTTTTTTTTTTTGAAAAATGGTAGGTGGCCGTCTATCCCCATAGTTGTTTGTATAAGGTAAGGTTATGTGCTTTGTAACGGTAGCATTTTTAGATACTGGCACCGTTATATCCTGTCGTTAATGATAACGTAACATGCTTAGATGAGGACTTAGAAAGAGTATTGCGAAGAGTTTTTTCTTCCTCCTGTTATAATGATTCCTTCATATATATCATTATATCATTAACTTATTTAGAAATTAACGTAATGCAAATTAAAGATAAATGCACGTCTAATCTTGTTTAAATCATCGATGGAAAACAGTGAATCGGTTGTGGCTTACTATTTTTCAATTCAGTTCAACAAATTCTATTGTGTTTGATGTTCTTACACAAAAGTATGAGATAACAGGCAATGTCTATATAAATCTTCTCCTTGCCCACTTCATGTTGATTGATATTACATTTACAGTGATACAATAATATTTATAAATTTCATGTACACATTATATTCATTAATTATGGTAAATTGTGATTAATATCTTAGTTTTAACTTGCACTTGTTCCGCGTACATATTTATTTTAATGAATGTTTTTAAGACAGTGTTTTTAATAATGGATATACACTGTCAAAGTGCTGAAGTAAAACAAACTAAACAAATTAACTAGTATAAAATTATAATTATCAAATATAAATCATTGAAATTACGCCATATTTACACTTGAGTATGTACAGATATTTAAGTCAACACAGTGTACAGAGACCCGATAACTCTGGTCCCATGACGTCACACCAGCGTAAAATGAGGCTTCTGAATCTACACCTATGTACATATATCTTAAAAAAGGCACCGATTCCTTAACAATTATTTTTTTTTTAAATTTTAGTGTCGGAATCCTGGATAAATTTAGAAACTAACCTATACGCGAAAAATATTCACAAAGTTTGGGAAATATTTTTATCTAACTTTGAATTCGGTGATATAGCGAATTTCTAGTGGAAATCCTTCTTTATTCATAGTAAATAAACTTCTGAACTTTAACTCAAAAAAGGCACCGATTCCTCACAACTTATTTTTAATTTTCAAATATCATATTAAAGTTTATAAAATTATCATCCAGATGTATACGGGAAAAATACTGTCATTTGAACGAAAAAATGCTTTATTCAAGTTTAAAGATTTTCTCTCTATATAATCTATAGTAACAGTACAGGTGAAAAATCGACTCAGGCTGGCGCATACGCAGCACGCTACAGGAGAGATTGCTGGTAATGATGATGTTTCCTAGCTGATACCATTGCCATTGGCATTTCAGATGTGAAAGTAATGACATTACTGTCACTGGCATACATCATGAACGATAAAGAAAGTGAAAAGATGTTGGGAACTGATAAGACCATCTTAAACTTCTTGTTGGAAATGATTCGAAAGGCTACAACATCGGAAAATAGGCGACATCAAGGGTTCTCAGTCGAAGAACTTTTAGATGGACTGTCACGACTGGCTCAAAATGACACAAACAAAAGGGAAATAATGGAAATTGCCAATGCCTATACGCTTATCAGAGAAATCGTAATGGAGGACAAAGAGGAATCAGAAACCATAGCGGCAGTGAAAACAATCCAGCAATTAGGGTTTGACGAGAGCAATCGACAAAAAGTAATGGTAAATATAAAAAAAAAATATCCGCAGTTGCTTAACGATGTTCTGTTGTTACCAAACCAAACCAAACTTTTAGTACATGGTTAATTCAAAATAAATGCGCATAGAGCAATAAAGCAGAGGTAAATCAAAACGGCTGCATATCCCACTCCCTGTTCAGTCCCAACTGAATCTGTATGATTGGTTCATATTCAAAGTTACATAGGGTCACAATTTGTGATGTCAAATTTCCAAACACAAATTTCCGAAATTTATTGAATTATGGGTTAAGTGCGTTTCCACATCCGATTTGACAACGAATTGCTTACGAATTATCGGACTGTTTGACGCAGTTAATTCATTTGCGTTTGTTGTTACATCTTATATCAAATACGGTTTAAAGATTAAATGAATTTCAGAGGTTTGAGAAATAAAGAACAAACAGTGCCTAATGCTTTGTAAAAATAACATTTCTGATTCAGTTTTGTGCTCTGTCTCTTCAGTTTTATACATCATCTACGCCGTCCCTGTAATACATGCTCTTTATCATACATGCTCACCTCGGTCTTTGCCATTTATATCTAGAGTGACAGGGACTTTGTAAAGACACTAAAGGACCTGAAACAATCTAGTTCTAAAAAGCTTGCTGAAGCCGCAGGATATGCTTGCTTCGTGATAACAGGATCAGAAGATGCAGACATGGATGACACCGACGACGATGAAACGCGACACAACACTTCAGGTATCTAAATGTGTATATTCGAAAAACATTCTGAATCTGAAACTTTCTGTTTCTTACGCTGTTGTTTTTTCACATGACCAATACAAATGAGATACCATTTGTAATGAAAACACACTAGATTTTTAATATCAATATTTGATGTAAGGGTAGCCTTTGCTCTATGTGCATCTTTGTATAAAACTTGCTATAAGCATTCTTATTCCAAACGTACTACCCGATACGCAATAAACATCACAATAATGAAATTTGAAGAGAAAAACAAGATGGAACTTGAATTGCATCTTTGGACAAAAATGACTTGCAGCACGTGCTTATTTGCGAAAGGATAACAGTATCTGCAAGTATGAAGTTTTGTAAAGCACGACTTAATTACAAAATGTCTATAATTAAAATTTTACAAGTCTTTAACAGAACACTTTTTGAAACATCTTGATACTGTTTTGAATATTAATAACAATTTTCTGTCTGAAGATGAATCCCCAATACAATCGGATGTCTTCATCAATGAAGGATATTGACCAATTAAGATGTTTTTCTCATTCTTTCCCTTATCCATTTATATGAAAATAAACTATTACGAAACACTTGATCTAAATGTGATTTAAGATTTTAAAGACAAAAGGTATTTTTCATCAAGATTCCATGGTACCGTCTAAGAAGAAGAAGAAAATTGTTTGGACAGAACAAGAAAGAAGTCGAGAAACCATAAAAACGCAAGGTCATATCATGCTTAGCTATAACTGGACTCATAAGCCCATTTTACGTGAGGTAATGATTTTTTGGCGAATCTCGTACATTATCCATTCTTTATATAATCACATCACATTGTAAAACTATTAACAGAGGAAGGACTGTATTTTCGAAGACAGAATAAAATCGCTTAAATAGACACATGTACCTAGAAATTCAGGAAAATCAACTGAAACTCAGATTTTCGAACAAAACAAGTTACACTTCAAAATTCTATCCATACACTACAAAACAATCCAACATGCAATTAAGTCAACTCCTCAATAATGCTCTGAACCAAAGTCAGAAGACAGGTCAGCAAAACCTTCAATTAGAATTTAAAAAGTAACATATCTGAGATAATGAATTTGAATCTTTGGTAGCATATTATTATATACAGTGGCTAAGCTTATTAATTAATTTTGTTTTCGACATTTTAGATCTATTTAGGTCGCGTGTCATGATATAAACATTTCTCAAGTTGTCAAAAGTGTGTGACAATACGTGCTATCATCTAAATAGATCTACAATATTTTTATGAATGATAAAAATTATCTTTAAATCTTGAGCCTTATGACACGTTGAGAAGACTGCATTAATTAGAAACTACACAAAGTGTGGCATAGACACATTTTAATTTACATTTCAGGTATATACAAGCTTAACATGGGCTGGTTTTCCTGTGTGGATGGACATCCATCACATGGAGGGTAACCTCCTCGATGCCATGTCTCAGGCTGTCTTAGAATCTGATGTCGTCATCATTTGTGCATCAGAACAGTATGGTGATAGTGCTAACTGTCGATTAGGTCAGTTTGGATTATCTAATTACTTGTATAATTATCCAATTAATTTGTGATGCGAAACTACCACTGGCAACTATAAATATCCTTATAAAAATCTGGGTTTTGAATATCCCAGTTACGATTTACTTAAATGTTGATAGATAGTTTCCGAATAAGCTTGAAACGGGTTCGTGTAAGTCTTCTTATCGAGTCGGAAGAAATCAATATAATTGTATAATCATTTAACCCTGCTTTAGGTAGGATCACGTCTAAATTACACGCGTAACATATAGTTAAGTGATTTGTGCTTCGTTAAGTACAGAACATGTGTTGTGTACATCCCGTCAAAATACTTAATTTGAATAATCATAATATCATACGTACCGAATATGAATCTGCGCTTCTTTTATGTCATTGATTTGATAATCTATTTAACAGAGGCAGAATTTGCACGTAAGAAGAAAAAAACGATAATTCCACTGATGATGCAGAAGAATGCAAACTTACCTGGTTGGCTAGACATGTTGCTTGGTGACAAGTTGTATTACAGATTCTATGACATCAACCTAGAAGATAACCGGCCATTATTTGAAGAGAGGATGGAGGAGGTGATGAACGCCATCAGAAGTGTGCTGAATCAGCAAAACAAGCAAGATAGTACACCTCGATTGATACCTCAGGCTCCAGAAACAAAGGCGGACAAATCAAAATCCACAGTTGTACCCCCTGACAACACTGCTATTACACCTATACCGACAAAATCTAATCAGGTAGCATCTATAGACAAACAGTAAACTTTAAGTACGTTAGACCAGTTAATTGTAACAACGACCAATAAAAACCGATTATTAATAATTCATGTTCAAGATTAACAATACATTGTTTATAAAGCACTGATCTTTCAAATTTTATATATGTTTTAAGAATACTATACAGCACGTTGCTTGTCTTTAATCACATATACATTGTACTCTCCGGAATACCTTGTTATAACACAGGCCGTACATGTTGACTTTCTCATGGTATCGTCGTGTGTCATTTTACAGTCCCCAAAGATCGGCCGTCAACTGGACATGTGGACAGAGGATGATAAAGATAGGTGGTTGAGAGACAAAAGACTTCACACGTAAGTCAACGGTACAACTATAAATATATATATTATTTATTGAAACCTAAGACAGGTATTTTAAAGTAAAATGGACGAGTTAAGAAACCTGACGTTAAAAGATCCTAACGTCGTGTATGGTTTTGTGAAACGAGTATGAGAAAACTTCGAGACGAGTTTCGTAAAATCTCATTCGAAATGGAAACAAGTCTAAGATTAATTTACCACAAAATACAGTAGTGTTATACTTTGACAGGTTTAATCGTCAAAATGTGGAAGTCAAAATCAAACGGAGGCAGCCATTTTTAATTCGTGACGTAATGTCGTTGTCCATATTATGATGTGATGAACGGCTTCTCCTTGGCGCAGCCAAATAAAAACGCTTCAAAGTGCATTACACTAGTAATATATATGAAGATACAAATTTACTGGTTAAAGACGGGTTATGTAATGGTGTTATGGATGAATAGGTTAATGTTTACCGGTTAAGACGTATTTGGTGAACAGGTTGAATGAGTGAATATATAGTGTAAAAATTAGCACTCTGCTTATTTGCATTTTTGATCTAATTTCAGATATGCAGGCATGAAGGATATATCTTGTGAACAGCTTCAATTTCTTGTCAAGATCTCGATCAAGGTATGTAGTTTATGTATGTAACAGATTAACTTGTAGATAAATTGTAAAACAGAAGAAATAAATATCTTAATTTTTTTTGTATGATTTGACAAAATAATATATAAGAAAGAGAATATGTTATATATATTATGACGGATGTGTCAACAGCTTTATACTGCAGTTTTATTATACAGCTATGCTGTCTAAGGAACTAGTAATTGTGTTCGTATCATGTTAGGTATTTGTGTGTAATATGAGATATTTGTATGTAAAGTGAGGTATTTGTGTGTTATGCGAGGTACATTTGTGTAATGTGAGGTATTTTTTGTGATGTGGGGTATATTTGTGTAATGTGGGGTATATTTGTGTAATGTGGCTTATACAAGCGTAATGTGGGGTATATGTGTGTAATGTGGGGTATTTTATGTAATGTGGGGTATTTTATGTCATGTGGGGTATATGTGTGTAATGTGGGGTATATTTATGTAATGTGGCGTATACAAGTGTAATGTGGTGTATATGTGTGTTATGTAGGGTATATTTGTGTAATGTGGGGTATATGTGTGTAATGTGGGGAATTTTATGTAATGTGGGGTATATTTGTGTAATGTGAGGTGTATTTGCGTGTAATGTGAGGTATGTGTGTGTAGTGTGAGGTACATTTGTGTAATGTGAGGTACATTTGTGTAATGTGAGGTATGTGTGTGTAGTGTGAGGTACATTTATGTAATGTGAGGTGTATTTGCGTGTAATGTGAGGTACATTTGTGCAGTGTGAGGTACATTTGTGTAATGTGCTGTACATTTGTGTAATGTGAGGTATGTGTGTGTAACGTGAGGTATGTGTGTGTAATGTGAGGTACATTTATGTAGTGAGAGGTACATTTGTGTAATGTGAGGTATGTGTGTGTAATGTGAGGTTCATTTGTGTAATGTGAGGTATGTGTGTGTAATGTGAGCTACATTTGTGTTGTGTGAGGTATTTGCGTGTAATGTGAGGTATGTGTGTGTAGTGTGAGGTACATTTGTGTAGTGTGAGGTATGTGTGTGTAACGTGAGGTACATTTGTGTAACGTGAGGTATGTGTGTGTAATGTGAGCTACATTTGTGTTGTGTGAGGTATTTGCGTGTAATGTGAGGTATGTGTGTGTAGTGTGAGGTACATTTGTGTAGTGTGAGGTATGTGTGTGTAACGTGAGGTATGTGTGTGTAATGTGCTGTACATTTGTGTAATGTGAGGTATGTGTGTGTAATGTGAGGTACATTTATGTAGTGTGAGGTACATTTGTGTAATGTGAGGTATGTGTGTGTAATGTGAGGTACATTTGTGTAATGTGAGGTAAGTGTGTGAAATGTGAGGTACATTTGTGTAACGTGAGGTATGTGTGTGTAATGTGAGCTACATTTGTGTTGTGTGAGGTATGTGTGTATAATGTGAGGTACATTTATGTAGTGTGAGGTACATTTGTGTAATGTGAGGTATGTGTGTGTAATGTGAGGTACATTTGTGTAGTGTGAGGTACATTTGTGTAATGTGAGGTATGTGTGTGTCATGTGAGGTACATTTATGAAGGGTGAGATACATTTGTGTTGTGGGAGGTATGTGTGTGTAATGTGAGGTACATTTGTGTCATGTGAGGTACATTTGTGTAGTGTGAGGTATATGTGTGTAATGTTAGGTACATTTGTGTTTTATGAGGTATGTTTGTAGTGTGAGGTACATTTATGTAGTGTGAGGTATGTGTGTGTAATGTTAGGTACATTTGTGTAGTGTGAGGTATGTGTGTGTAGTGTGAGGTACATTTATGTAGTGTGAGGTATGTGTGTGTATTGTGAGGTACATTTATGTAGTGGGAGGTATGTGTGTGTAGTGTGAGGTACATTTGTGTAGTGTGAGGTATGTGTGTGTAATGTGATGTACATTTGTGTAATGTGAGGTAAGTGTGTGAAATGTGAGGTACATTTGTGTAACGTGAGGTATGTGTGTGTAATGTGAGCTACATTTGTGTTGTGTGAGGTATGTGTGTATAATGTGAGGTACATTTATGTAGTGTGAGGTACATTTGTGTAATGTGAGGTATGTGTGTGTAATGTGAGTTACATTTATGTAGTGAGAGGTACATTTGTGTAATGTGAGGTATGTGTGTGTAATGTGAGGTACATTTGTGTAGTGTGAGGTACATTTGTGTAATGTGAGATACATTTGTGTAGTGTGAGGTATGTGTGTGTCATGTGAGGTACATTTATGTAATGTGAGGTATGTGTGTGTAATGTGAGGTACATTTATGTAACGTAAGGTATGTGTGTGTAATGTGAGCTACATTTGTGTTGTGTGAGGTATTTGCGTGTAATGTGAGGTATGTGTGTGTAATGTGAGGTACATTTGTGTTGTGTGATGTATGTGTGTATAATGTGAGGTACATTTATGTAGTGTGAGGTACATTTGTGTAATGTGAGGTATGTGTGTGTAATGTGAGGTACATTTATGTAGTGTGAGGTACATTTGTGTAATGTGAGGTATGTGTGTGTAATGTGAGGTACATTTGTGTAATGTGAGGTAAGTGTGTGAAATGTGAGGTACATTTGTGTAACGTGAGGTATGTGTGTGTAATGTGAGCTACATTTGTGTTGTGTGAGGTATGTGTGTATAATGTGAGGTACATTTATGTAGTGTGAGGTACATTTGTGTTGTGTGAGGTATGTGTGTGTAATGTGAGGTACATTTGTGTAATGTGAGGTATGTGTGTGTCATGTGAGGTACATTTATGAAGGGTGAGATACATTTGTGTTGTGGGAGGTATGTGTGTGTGTGTACATTTGTGTCATGTGAGGTACATTTGTGTAGTGTGAGGTATATGTGTGTAATGTTAGGTACATTTGTGTTTTATGAGGTATGTGTGTAGTGTGAGGTACATTTATGTAGTGTGAGGTATGTGTGTGTAATGTTAGGTACATTTGTGTAGTGTGAGGTATGTGTGTGTAGTGTGAGGTACATTTATGTAGTGTGAGGTATGTGTGTGTAGTGTGAGGTACATTTATGTAGTGTGAGGTATGTGTGTGTAGTGTGAGGTACATTTGTGTAGTGTGAGGTATGTGTGTGTAATGTGAGGTACATTTGTGTAGTGTGAGGTATGGTAATGTATGATTTGTGACAACATGCGCTCTCCTTGTGTGTCTATTTACATATTATTGAGTATTACACAGGTATTTGCAATATTTAGTTTTTAAGGTTTGCGGTTGTATTTATTTGTAATAATGATAGGTGTTACAGTAACGAGTGTTATTCAGTTTAGATAAACAAACGGTTCTGTATCGCTTTGTATGTTTATTTCTTTTATAAACATGCGATGTATCATAGTGTAACAAGTGAGTTATATTACAACCCCGAATTGCGTGCGTAAATGTAATGGATTTATCAATGATATGTTTTCATGGACGGGACTTTTTGCTTAACATTTTGGTCATGTTTTGAATCGTTTACTTTTAAGTTGGGAGACGTTTGTGTATATTTCGAGTTTGTGTGATTACACAGTTTATCTACACTGTAGTATTTATTAACATGTGATAGTTTTCTGTCTACCTACAGGCTCCCGAGTTCTTCTACAGAACCCTGAAGGAGGAAGTCGGACTGAGAGGTTTAGAACAACTTATGCGGGTCAGCAATGCGATCGAGGAGCTCGTGTGAAATCTATACATAAATATGTTGTGTTAGGTAAACCAAAAAGACAGATGAGATCGAAGGGCTCATGTAACTTCTATACATAAATATGTTGTGCCAAGTAAACCAAAAAGACAGCTATGAGATCGAGGGGCTCGTGTAACTTCTATAAATAAATATGTTGTACCAAGTAAACCAAAAAGACAGCTATGAGATCGAGGGGCTCGTGTAACTTCTATAAATAAATATGTTGTACCAAGTAAACCAAAAAGACAGCTATGAGATCGAGGGGCTCGTGTAACTTCTATAAATAAATATGTTGTACCAAGTAAACCAAAAAGACAGCTATGAGATCGAGGGGCTCGTGTAACTTCTATAAATAAATATGTTGTGCTAAGTAAACCAAAAAGACAGCTATGAGATCGAGGGGCTCGTGTAACTTCTATAAATAAATATGTTGTGCTAAGTAAACCAAAAAGACAGCTATGAGATCGAGGGGCTCGTTTAACTTCTATACTTTGTATGATACGGTGGATGAACACCAGTATATTTTTACATTTGTATATAATACGGTGGCTTAATGCCACTATGGAGATTGGACGCCCGTACGGTTGTACAGTTTTGTGTACATATGTATATCTATTAATTCAGACGTAGCCATAACAGAAGTATTTTACCTGTAGGATTTTGACACATTATATGCAAACGTATGAAATGTATTGAACTATCAGGTCTGCGCACCTCCCAACTAGTTTTTTCACTATTATTTCGACTAATTTGAATTAACTACTTTTCGACAATTTATGTTTGACAAAGGTTGATACAGCTGCAAGGTTGAATACTAGTATTCCTGTTGTATCTTGAATTTCATACACATAAATACTACATCGCCTGATTTATTGTGCTGATACCATTTTATTGTCCGGAACTGGTATGACATGTTCAATTATACAGCAATACACGTGGCCAATCACACTTTTTACACTAAATGTGATAAGAATTTTTTTATGATAAAACTTAATTTATGTCTATTGATGTTGTTGTTTTAGTTTCCACTTCATACGGTTGTGTTTCTATAGTGTATTTTATACCACGACATGAAAGATTAATAGTCAGCAAGATGTGTGTAGGCAGAGACGTATACTCGGCGTCAATGAAAACGCAACACCTTTAAATTACTGTCAAAATTTACCAGTTATGGTTTTGAATACAATATTTAATAAAATACCTAAAAGTTGATTATGTCCATAACAAAATTCACTCAATGCAATCAGCACTACATCGTGGGAATACTTTGATTTCCGGTGACTAATGTCCATACCCCCAAAATCAAAATTACCACGTTCAATATCTAATGTGGCCACCATTTGCAGCAACACAAGCGCGGCATCTTCGAGGCATTGACCGAATTAGGCGTTGAATTTTAATTTGAGGAATGTTCCTCCACTCTTCCTGAAGAGCGATTTCAAGCTGCCGACGCGTCTTGGGCTGTTGTGGTCGCTCTCTCACAGCCCTACCCAATTGGTCCCAAAGATGCTCGATCGGACTAAGATTCGGGGGAAACGCGGGCCACGGAAGGGTTGCGATGTTCTGATGTTGAAGATAGTCTGTAGTGATACGAGCGGTATGTGGTCGTGCATTGTCCTGTTGTAATAACGGTACGTTTTGGTGTCCAGCAAAGAATGGAACAACAGCAGGAGTTAAGACCTCGTTGATGTAGCGCTGTGCTGTTAGATTGCCGTCAATAATTACTAGAGGGGTACGGTATGCAAAAGAGATACCTCCCCACACCATCACACTGCCCCCGCCCCACCTATCCGTTTCCGTTAGACAGCAGTCAAAAAACCTTTCACCTCGACGTCGCCACACTCGAATTCTACCGTCATTTCCTCTGAGGCGGAATCTCGATTCGTCGGTGAACAGGACGCCAGCCCACCGACGTTGTGTCCATCCTCGGCGCTGTCTTGTCCAATTTAGACAATTTTGACGGCGAATTTGAGTCAATTCGTTTCCTCTAAATGGACGGCGCGACGCCAATCCGGCTGTGCAAAGGCGACGGCGCACAGTACTAGCTGACAAACGTCTGCCATGACTTCCTATCGTCTGTCTAGCCGTTCTTGTCGCGGTTTGAAAACGATCTCGCAGGTGACTTAGTCGAATGTAACGGTCCTGGTTTGGCGTCGTCACTCTCTGTCGCCCAGGACGAGGTCGAACTCTCACGGATCCGGTTTGTCGCACTCGCTCTGCCAGTCGATTGATTGAGGAAGCAGAACAACCCATTCTCCTGGCAACTTCCCTCTGAGAAAGCCCTCCTGCTAGCATACCCCGAGCTTCGTGTCTTTCATTGCCTGTCAGTCGAGGCATTTGTAGCAAATAATGATGACAATTTAAAAAATTGATGACGGAAAAATGTCTGCCTGTAACTACAGTGTTCACTAGTAGTGACTGAGCAAGGATATAACGCACTTTAGAGCGCCGACGTGCAAACTCATGCTTTTACGACAATGCCCTGTGGTACGACAAGGAGTTGATATTACTCGACCATTATCCTATGTAGGATTATTAGTATTTTTTCTCCGTTAGGAGATGAGATGATTAAGTTAACAAAACAACAACAAAGAATAAGTTAACAAAACAAAAGAGAAACAAAAAACAAACAGAAACAAACAAAACTAGAAATTGTTGTTAACAATTTGGCGGGCTTTTCACTTCTTTGGCGACAAGTTGACCGGAAGTTGACATTTATCCTGGTAACGATATATGAGGAAGGTTCCTTGTTTGTAAGTCTCTACAACATATCCAAAGATGAACTTTGAATCTTGAAACGTTAAGGAGATATAACTACATAATAACGAAGAAATACACTTTTTAAAGGTTCAAACATATTTGACCCCTGTGACCTTGAATGTCAGTCAAGGTTATTCATATTTGCAAGCCTTATAATGTAACATCTGATGATCAATATATCACCAATATTTGTTCTCTAGACCTTGTGAGACTTGACAAGAAGATTGTTGAACACTGGTACCCTATTTTGTATATTTGAACTTTGACCCCATTAAGAAACCGGAAGTTGACATTTTGAGGGAAGTTGTCCTTATGACAATCACTAGGAAGTCTCCACAGAAGGTTTATAATCAATTTTCATCATTGTATGCCTTCTAGAAATTGAGAAACTTTCATTTAACGATTTTTAGTTAATTGACATCTGTGACCTTGAAAGTGGGTCAAGGTCATTTATATTATCAAACTTTGTTGTCGGTTACATATCCTTCCTGTATATGAAATATCAAGCATCTAGGCCTTCCAGAACTTGAGAAGAAGTTTTTCAAAGATTGGTACCCTAAATAGCTCTTTCCCAGTTTGTGCCTTAATGCAAACCGGAAGTTGAACTTTTAAGGAAGTTTTTCTTATGACAATCAATAGGAAGTGTCTACAGAATGTTTATAATCAATTTTCATCATTGTGTGCCTTCTAGAAAGTGAGAAACTGTCATTTAACGATTTTTACTTAATTGACCTCTGTGACCTTGAAAGTGGGTCAAGGTCATTTATATTATCAAACTTTGTTGCCAGTTACATATGCTTCTTATATGTGAAATATCAAGCCTCTAGGCCATCCAGAACTAGAGAAGAAGTTTTTCAAAGATTGGTACCCTTAATAGCACTTTTCAACTTTGACCTCCTACCGCAAACCGGAAGTTGAATTTGAGGTACGTTTCTCTTATATCACTCGACAGGAAATGTCTACAAAATATTTTTGTCCAAAGTTGAAGACTTTGGGCAGCTTAACAAAGGAGAAATTACCATTTAACGATTTTTACATAATTGACTCCTGTGACCTTGAAAGTGGGTCAAGGTCATTTATATTAAGAAACCTGATAGATAATTGATCAGACATCTTACACATGAAATATCAAGACTCAAGGCTTTGCAGAACTTGAGAAGAAGTTTGTCAAAGTTTGTAACCCGAAATTGCAGTTTTCAACTTTGACCCCTACCAGAAACCGGAAGTTCACACCATTTATCTAATTTTTTTTCAAACGAAATATGTTTGCAGGGTTATGTTTATAAACTGCTTTAAGCTTAAGTCAATAGCTTGAGCCGTTATTGAGTTACAGCCATTTAGGTAAAATCGGATATGACGTCATGGCGGCCATTTTGTTTTTCTGATGATTTTGTAAATGACACTAAATGGTAGAGGACATCTGGGGAAACCTTTCTGATATAAATTATTCCAAAAAAAAGCCCGTTGGTAAAGATCTAGATCGAGTTTTTCCAAATTGTCGGCATTTTTAAAAGATCAAAGGAAATTTTCAAAATGGCATACAACGGAAGTGGTAAACGTTACAGAAAAACTAAAAGCACTAAATTCATCGGAAGGACATTCTGCATCGATGTGTTAAAGAAATTTTCAAATTTTCAAATATTGACCCCACAGCGAGCTTTTTTATTAGACATATTTTGTATTATAATGGCATGGGGAAAAGTTAGATAAGGAAATTGTCTACAAATAACATAATAGGACGAACTCTGTACACTCAACGGTTTTCGAGTTACGGCCGTTTTAAAGTTTTTAACTTATGACGTCATAGCAGCCATATTGGATTTTTGACCTACTTAAAAAATCTGCATCGTCACCATCCAGTATGTACCAATAACATAGTCAATACATATTAGGTGTGGTCTTTACCGTTTAAAAGATTACGAACCCACAAATTTCGGAAGAAAAATAATAATAAGAATGATAAGAAACATAACAAAAACTAGAAGTTGTTGCTAACAATTTTGCGGGCTTTTCACTTCTTTGGCGACAATCTACCGAAAAACAAAACATTAAATTCATCGGAAGGATGTTCTGCATCAATCTGAAGAAGAAAATTTCAAGAAAGTTCAAAATTGAAAAAAAATTAAAAATTTGTTAAATTTTGAAAACTTCACCCAACAGCGAGCTTTTTTATTTGACATATTCTCTGATAACATGTCATGACAAAAATTTAGATAAGGAAATTCTCTAAAAATAATATA